GTCGACGTTACTTGTCTTGGTAAATGCACTAGTGTTTGTTTGTTTGCTTTTTTACAATTATGAAGGCATTTTGTATCTCAGGGATGATGTGATTGTGAAATCAATAAAGTTGAAGCTGTGGTCTTGGTTCTTAGTGAAGAAGAAATTTGGTCGCTTTTAAGCACAAGGGGGCTATCCTGATAAATGCTGTTTTGAGAAAATCGAAGGTAACGTTTTTGCTCCTTGTTCAGTTTCTTTAAAAGACAAGGAGGGTTTTCTTTACAACCAAACAAATATACACACCAATGAAATCAAACTTCTCCTATAGGTAGGGCAATGCCCACTTTTGGAGTAGGTCAAGATTTCTGGAAACCCCCTAAATATCTTTTAGCCCCATCTTGTCCTTACATGGGACCAATTGTAGAATGGATAGAATGATGCAAGCAGGACGAAACTTTTCCAAGAATAAACAAGGCGTAGGAAGGGGGAAGGGCTGAAAGTAGTGCTAGGTTCCCGATTATTGAAAGCTAGGAATCGTAGGAATCGACTCCATACCCAGTTACATGTACTAACTTTCTAATGGTGTGATGACTTTATTACTAGAATGTAGAACTGGGGTCTCAGGAAGACGGGGTGCTCCATGCTTCCTCTCCCCTCTTCATGAGGTCTCCCCTCTTCATGAGGGTCCATTTCAGTGTTGGCGGGCTGATTGTCTCCATCATCAGCTGGTCTAATGATGTGATTTCTTTCGGTGGTTACCTGGTTGGCTCCGGATTTTGAATAGATTTGATTTCGGAACACTACGAAGCTTCAACTTTTAATTTTCAAAAATAAATTCTTTTTTAAAAAAGGAAAGATGTTAATGGTTAAAGTAACTGGTAACCGTTGATTTACGTAAAAAGGAATCGGAACGTTTCTTCCGTAGCATTAATGGTAGGAATCAGTTCCGGAATCGATTCATCGCCCAGGTCTAGCTGAAATCGGGTGCTCTAGATTCCCGCATGGCTTTTCGTCAGTTTTGGTGTTGGTGTTTCATGTTCCAAGTCATCGTTATTCTTCGGTCCTGTCGGATGGGCCTGTACACTTTGGAGGCCCTGTCTCATAACTGAACTCACATCGTTGATTTGAGTGTTTTAGTTTTAGTAAGAGTTTTACGGTACTTACAACACAATAAGGTCATAGAAGTGCCGAAAA